GCTGCTATGTGTGTGTGTGCACGTGTGTAAGTGTGTGTGTCATTGCCAGCTGACGCTGTTGTCAGAGCCTCAGAGGAGTCTAGTCAGCAGGTGAAGCTCATGCCTGATTGGACACAGGGGTAACAACTTAATGCGATGAAGCATGTACAGTCGTGGACAAAAGTTTTGAGAATATTGGTCTCCACAAAGTTTGCTGCTTCAGTGTTCTTAGATCTTTATGTCAGTAGTTACTATGGTACACTGAAGTATAATTACAAGTATTCCATAAGTGTCAAAGGCTTTCATTGACAATGACATTCAGTTTATGCAAAGAGTCAATATTTGCAGTGTTGACCCTTCTTTTTCAAGACCTCTGCAATCCGCCTGCAATGCTGTCAATTAACTTCTGGGCCACATCCTGACTGATGGCAGCCCATTCTTGCATAATCAATGCTTGGAGTTTGTCAGAAGTTGTGGGTTTTTGTTTGTCCACCCGCCTCTTGAGGATCGACCACAAGTTTTCAATGTGATTAAGGTCTGGGGAATTTTCTGGCCATGGACCCAAAATGTCGATGTTTTGTTCCCCGAGCCACTTAGTTATCACTTTTGCCTCATGGCAAGGTGCTCCATCATGCTGGAAAAGGCATTGTTCGTCACCAAACTGTTCTTGGATGGTTGGGAGAAGTTGCTCTCGAAGGATGTGTTGGTACCATTCTTTATTCATGGCTGTGTTCTTAGGCAAAATTGTGAGTGAGCCCACTCCCTTGGCTGAGAAGCAACCCCACACATGAATGGTCTCAGGATGCTTTACTGTTGGCATGACACAGGACTGATGGTAGTGCTCACCTTTTCTTCTCCGGACAAGGTGTTTTCCAGATGGCCCAAACAATCGGAAAGGGGATTCATCAGAGGAAATGACTCTACCCCAGTCCTCAGCAGTCCAATCCCTGTACCTTTTGCAGAATATCAGTCTGTCCCTGATGTTTTTCCTGAAGAGAAGTGGCTTCCTCGCTGCCCTTATTGACACCAGGCCATCCTCCAAAAGTCTTCGCCTCACTGTGCGTGCAGATGCACGCACACCTGCCTGCTGCCATTCCTGAACAAGCTCTGCACTGGTGGTACCCCGATCCCGCAGCTGAATCAACTTTAGGAGACGGTCCTGGTGCTTGCTGGACTTTCTTGGGCACCCTGACGCCTTCTTCACAACAATTGAACCTCTCTCCTTAAAGTTCTTGATTATCCGATAAATGGTTGATTTAGGTGCAATCTTACTAGCAGCAATATCCTTGCCTGTGAAGCCCTTTTTGTGCAAAGCAATGATGACGGCATGTGTTTCTCCAGACTCGTCCTCATCAACACTCTCACCTGTGTTAACGAGACAATCACTGACATAATGGCAGCTGGTCCTTTTGTGGCAGGGCTGAAATGCAGTGGAATTTTTTTGGGGGGATTAAGTTCATTTTCATGGCAAAGAGGGACTTTGCAATTAATTGCAATTCATTTGATCACTCTTCATGACATTCTGGAGTATATGCAAATTGCCATCATCAACACTGAGGCAGCAAACTTTGTGGAGCCCAATACTTGTGTCATTCTCAAAACGTTTAACCACGACTGTACACAAAAGCCAGTTCCTGGATATGTTCTTCCTGTTATGCGAAACATAAAAATAAATACCCCACAGAGTGAAAAATAGTTGTCAGTCACATTTGACGTTGTATTTGCCACATTGATGCCTACTACTGGGACTCACTGTTTATAAATATTTTATTTTACATTAGTAGTGTTGTGGTTAAAAAGGTTGGCTTGGGAAAATTATGCATTTTTGTCATGAATAGACAGACTGTGATTTGGCAGCAGTGCAAATTATTTCCTGCCCATGTCAGCTCATCTTTAACAAAACCACACAGACACATAATCATAGCCCCTTGTACTGTAAATGGTTCCATAGACGTCAAGGCCATCTAGTGGCCATTGTGATGATGTATCAACTTGTAAAGATGTTACAATGTTACAAGGCAGCAATAATATTGTAAAGTACAATTAAACAGAGCTACATTTGCCTCATACTGCATGTGTATCCTGTTTGATTCCCATGAAACATTATTGTGATAAGCTACTGTCATTTCAGGGGGATATATTTTGTAACATAAACTGAGACCAGCTGCACATTTATCTGAGAAAGTGAATACTGTACTTTGCATTTATATGGTTGACAAATTGTATGGTCATTATATTATTGTTGCTTGTTGTTATATTAGTGTAAAAAAAACAAAAAAACATCTCTAATCCACTCACTATGAACGTCACAAGACATCATAGGTCAAATTGAACTCAATTGAAGGTGGGGCGATCCCGGTAATACCAGTAATCTGGATTGCTTTCTTCCATTGTTAACTGGTGGACACAGTGGTGTCACACCACATGCCCACAAGCCTTGTAAACAAACAAGCAAACCCACTGGGCACACACTGGTTGAATCAACGTTGTTTCAACGTCATTCAATGAAATTACATTGAACCAACGTGGAATAGACGTTGAATTGATGTCTGTGCCCATTGGGAACCTACAGTACAGCATGATGTCATTATGCACTGTGTGTCTTCACTATTGTTTCCCATTTTAGACACTCGAAGGCAGGGTGTCTATCACTACTGGATGTCCTGCTGTCGTGACGGGACTTTCAGTAACATGATAACTGTTATTTATCGAATCAACTAACTATGTTTAATTGTTACTTGATTAAATTAATCATGTAACAATTAACTCATTAGGATTTGGGGCACCATGGAAGAAGTTGTTTATAGAGTTACCAGCACCCGAATTAAACTCTAAAAGGTATTTACCTATCAATATGTATAAATCAGTCAATGTATTAATCATTACCTCTTATCAGTCTCATTCTGAACGGTCGTATACTTCTTGGATCTGCACGAACCCCAGCTTTACTTACGATTCAGTACTACCCAAATTGGTTTAATTATTTATTTACTAGCTAACTAAATAATAACACAGAATAACATACACACTTAAGGTAGTGGGTTCGATCCCCGGGACCACCCATACACAAAAATGTATGCACGCATGACTGTAAGTCGCTTTGGATAAAAGCGTCTGCTAATTGGCATATTATATTATTATATTATATAAAACATGAGAACAAGTCCCTAGCGGACTAACAACAGCATGACTGCTTGGCTATCAAAAGAGGGAGGGGTAGATAAGAGAGAGGGAGGGGGAGAGAGAGAGAGACAACGAGAGAGTCAAACTTATCGTTGATACATTTGGAAACTACCCTCAAAGTAGTCATAATACTTTGCTCACGAACCACTGCCCGTTTGGGGTAAGAAGAGTCCCATCCTGCCTCATTTATGACAGTGTTAACGTGTCAAAATTGTATTGCAGTCAGTGACTTGTCTTATTGCAGTCAGTGATGTTTCTTATTGCATTTTTATGGTCTAATTGTCTGAACTCAAAATTGCCTTTTATTGTTACATTGGAATTTGTATAGAGAAAGGCAATCTTTGTAATTTTTTATTACAAAAAATGATTCACCTGAAACAGGAAAACTTAGCAAAAAAAATATGGATATTGAAAAGATATACTGTAGGTTGAAGTCTGGTTCTAGTTCAACCAAGCTTGAGGCAAGAAAGAGGGTCAGCATGTTCATGCTCTGACTGACTCAGTCTGGGTTTATGCAGCTTAATGGAGACGGAGCAGATGCAGAAAGCTGAGACCTGCTGGATTTATTTAGCACACCTCAGACAGACAGACGCTCACACGCTTGCTGTCTGTGTAGAACCAGACTGTGGCAGACTACACACAGGTCTAAAGATGTCAGACAGCTGGTAGGCTACTGTGTCTGAATGCATGCCAGGTCAGTCACATAGTTCCATGATATGTAGTTAAGAGTCCATATGCAGTTATACTGTGTATTGTAAAACAAACCCCATGGTGGAGACCATATGGACTTACGGACATTTTATGGGTATAGCAAAAGGGATATACAGTATACAGCCAATTCACAGACCCAATGAATAGTGCTACCCCAAAGGGATATGAATGCACTGTAAGTACAACCCATGTTCCTTAGTAACCAGGTACCAAAGCCCAGGTTATATAAACACACAGATAACACTAACACTAAAGAGTAAAGAAATTATCAACTTTTTTCAATCTGATTCTGGGTAGGTTTAGATGTACTGTAGTTAGACAAACTGGGTGCGAAAATGTTGGTTGGTTAAGTAGGCTGTGGTGGCCATATGTAAGTCTTACTTTTTTAAAGGATATGTATTTTATTGGATTTTCTCACACAAAAAAGTCACACATTCTTATAACAGGATTACAGCAGTAGTTGGACAGTCATAACAATCTCTTAAACAATGTCAAGTTGTTATACAGCTGTACATTGGTGTTGATATTAAAACATGTTCTATATCCAACCTGATGACAATAAGATGTTTTTACACAGGCAGCCCAACTCCAATCATTCTGTTGACCTTTACTACCCATGATCTAAATAGCTCTGGAGTATTCTGGAGTTTATTGACCCGGGTCACCTGACAGTGACCTCTGCTGACTTGTCAACGTTCCTTATATAAGTCTGTGGTTTGCACGTCGGCCCTGTGTCACAATGAGCTCTTCTTTCAGGTGGGAACTGAGGAGAAGATGGTGGCCGCTGTGCTCGCCTTGCTCTGTTTCACCACAACTGATGACCGACTGCTGCAGCTGTGTCTCCAAGATCCCAGCAACCCATCAGGCAAGAACGACTATCTCTCAAATGGATTAACTCAGTCTGCAATCACTTGCGATTGCAAATAGATAATACTGTCACTTAAATTGCTTCAGGACTATATCTCATATTTTCACACAGGAAAGTCAATGCACTGGTGGTCAGTCTTGACAAAGCAGGAAAAACATCCACTGTCAGTGAATTAAATACAGACCAATACAAACATGACACCGTAATCTGGGTTGGCTGACGTAAATTGTCCTGTCTCTGTCTGCAGTGCCCCCGGTGGATGTGGGTTCCGACTCATGGGTGTGTCCGGACGGAGCTGAGAGTGGAGAACTTCCTGGTCACCCTGCTGGACATTGGTTGGGCCCCGGAGGTGCGGGGATCCTGGAGGGATCTCTATGGGGAGGTCCATGGGTTCATCTTTGTGGTGGACTTCAGTGACCGGCAGAGGATTAAAGAGTTCAAGGAGCTTCTGACGGACCTGCTGAAGCAGCCTAGAGTGGCGGGAAAACCACTACTGGTGGAAGGACTACTACTTATATCAAGTTTGAATTATGTGAATAAAATACTTGATCAATGCCAAAATAAAAAGCGAAGTTACAGCTGATTTTATGACTATGTTATACAATGTTCTATGAGGTGTACAGAAACCCATGAGTTGACAGATGATCTATATTACCTATACCCATTAAAACCTTAGTGTTGCCATTTACAGTGGGCAAGGAAGGACCGTAGCGAAACTGATTAGTGCTTTCAAAACAACGTTATGCTCTGTTGTTGTGTTTTAGGCTGGCCACCAAGCAGGACAAGATGAACACCCTGCTGGGGAGTGAGATAATCGAGATCCTGTCTCTGGAGAGACTGGTGAACCAGAGCCACTGTCTGTGCCACATTGTGAGTCTAGTCCTCATACACACCACTCTCCACACAACTAGACAGACAGACAGACAGACAGACAATCAGCTAGAAAGCCATCCTGCCAGCCAATCAGAGATACAGATTATGTTAATTATGTACAAGAGACCGATAGATACAAAGACAGACACAAATCCATGTGGGCTACATAGATTTGATTATGTTGTGCTTTTTTGCTCAAGGAGCCTTGCTCAGCCTTCATAGACCGGTGGAGGTGGACAGACAGGATGACACTGCGGGTCTTTGCTGGCCACTGCGTGCCGTCAATCTGGATTACCCAGAATTCTGTTCTCGCATAATCAGGAACATCAGGGACAGGAGACCTCTGGCACCAGATGAGAGGAACAACCATGGGAAGATGGAGAGGCCGCAGCAAGCCCAAAGAGGAAAGGTAAGAGAGAGACTATAACTCTGTGCCTTCAGTTAGACTCCCAGAAAATCATCTGTCTTGGTCAATGTGTTGAGATTGCAGTGACAGAATATGTATCCATTAACTATTTCTATTTCAAAGACATTGCTTAGCTATGTTAGCTAAAGCATTATGGCATTGACCCTTTTTTCATGTGAAATTTTGTCTCTGTGTAGATTACATGGCAGCAAAAATGACCATTGTAAAGTACAACGCCTTCAAGAAAAGGACCAAAGGCCCAAGACCCCTTCACTACAACCCATTCGAAAGATCTTGAAAAAGGTAAAGACATTGACAGTTTTAATATAGTTGCAGATCCATTTGATCTTGATAAGATTCCTATAGTTTCAGTACAGTAAAGGTGTTAAATGTGAACTGATGAGCATTTTATATTGTAGAAGAGCAGGTCAAGATTAAAGACAGAAGAGGAAAGTGAAGGAGGAGAGAATGTGGAGGGAGGGGGAGGGGCAGGGAGGTAGCACAGAGGCGGACCAGGAACACACTGTGCAGAAAGAGAAGGCCAGCAGTCCCCTAATACCTCTGAAACGAGGGAAGCTGAAACGCAAAGCCAAAGTGAAGGAAGAGACCCTAGACCTCCCAGAATCAGTTGAAAACTAAGACAAAGACAAATCAAGGTAACTATGATCCTCAAACAATAGAACTCACTCTGCCTCCAGTGTCTTGGAGTATGTTATAAAGGCTTTATTAAGGTTATAGCATATTATTAGTACTTCTGAATATCGAAATGTGTATCTGTTAAAAACTTTAACATGTTCTCATCTGTAGATAAAGGGGACAAGAAGAAGAAGAAAGAAACAGAAGTGAAAAAGGAGAACAGAATTATAGTAACTTGACAAGGAATGCCCACACGCATTTCAATATTACTTTCCTTTACTTTCAACCCAATAAATAAAAGGTGTACAGCCATGTACAAATGGTACAAAATCAGCAAAACGATACAGCCCACTCAACCTGTGGTAGAGTCACATTGTACAGATCCGACTCTGGGGGATGACATCATCAAAGGAGAAAGGTCACGGTCAATGCCAATAATAACCCTACACACATTAATAGTAATCATACTATAGTGCAAGTAAGTACAACACATATTCAATGTAATTATTTATATAGCGTCCACACTATAACAAGAATAAACACTAAGGAGATTCCAGGGGCATACTCTTAGCCAGTTGACCTCTCCGCGAACTTTGGTGAGCCCCCAGTCACTCCTTCTTAACTTGCACTGAAATGCAAAGCCAAAATTAGACACTGTCTGAGGATCAAAGCCTGTTTTTAAACAAGATATATGATTTCCCTGTTTCCTGATAGATCTTTACCGAAAAGCCATTTTGGCTCTGAAAGAGCATCAGGATCAGAGCTAGTGAGAGTAGAGGGTTGAGAGAGCGAGAGATAGAGTCCTGGGTCCAGTGTGTGACTACGCATTCTGCTATCCTGGCAAGGGCAGCACTCCAGTGATTATGAACACGCGTAGACACCTTAGTGACTCCCCCTCAGCCTCTTCCCATCCACCCATCAAGACAGCTACCTGACAGACTGACTGACAGAGGGAGGCCTGCCTTGCCTGCAACCCCTCCACAACCTCGTTCTATTACCTCACATCTTAAACTTATGGATTACAACTGGAGTTACCATCGGCTTTTGAAGGACAATTAAAAAATACCTGACAGCAAGTTTTTCTTAGTAGCCACTGTGTAGGAATTACAAAGCCAATACACCCCTAAGAAATGTGTGTTTATTTTATGTTACCAAAATATGTTATATGAAAGTGTCAATATTTATTTATTAGTGATTATTTAGTAAAAGTAAACAATTGTTCACAAACATGATCAATGTACGTACTCGGCCAAACTATTTGAAATCCTCCTTGTAAATATAAATAGACTTTATCTGTTTATATTGTAATTTTGATGGAAAGGGAGACATGCTTTTATAAAGTTTCTTGACTTTTTATATGACTGTTGAAAACATTTCCCACAGAAAATAAAGTAAGCTAAAGGAAAATAGCATTATGAGAGATTCCAACACCAGGTCAATTTGAGGAAATAACAAGTACAGAATTGAACTGTATAATAAACATGCTTCCTTCACAATTGACCATTTGCCTTAAAGTGTTCTCCTTGAAGATGATAATGCTTGAAAAAAAATAATGCTTTATTGCTTGACCCAGATTGCCCCCTGCAGTCCAAACAGTATTAGGACAAGCTGCAAACTATTAGTCAGCCAAACAGGTACAGTGCCTTGCAAAAGTATTAAGCCCCCTTGGCGTTTTTCCTATTTTGTTGCATTACAACCTGTAATTTAAATGGATTTTTATTTGGATTTCATGTAATGGACATACACAAAATAGTCAAAATTGTTGAAGTGAAATGAAAAAAAGTACTTATTTAAAAAAATTCTAAAAAATAAATTACGGAAAAGTGGTGCGTGCATATGTATTCACCCCCTTTGCTATGAAGTCCCTAAATAAGATCTGGTGCAACCAAGTACCTTCAGAAGTCACATAATTAGTTAAATAAAGTCCACCTGTGTGCAATCTAAGTGTCACATGATCTCAGTATATATACACCTGTTCTGAAAGGCCCCAGAGTCTGCAACACCACTAAGCAAGGGGCACCACCAAGCAAGCGGCACCATGAAGACCAAGGAGCTCTCCAAACAGGTCAGGGACAAAGTTGTGGAGAAGTACAGATCAGGGTTGGGTTATAAAAAATATCTGAAACTTTGAACATCCCACAGAGCACCATTAAATCCATTATTAAAAAATGGAAAGAATATGGCACCACAACAAACCTGCTAAGAGAGAGCTGCCCACCAAAACTCACAGACCAGGCAAGGAGGGCATTAATCAGAGAGGCAACAAAGAGACCAAAGATAACCCTGAAGGAGCTGCAAAGCTCCACAGTGGAGATTGGAGTATCTGTCCATAGGACCACTTTAAGCCGTATGCTCCACAGAGCTGGGCTTTACGGAAGAGTGGCCAGAAAAAGCCATTGCTTAAAGAAAAAAATAAGCAAACACGTTTGGTGTTCGCCAAAAGGCATGTGGAAGACTCCCCAAACATATGGAAGAAGGTACTCCGGTCAGATGAGACTAAAATTGAGCTTTTTGTCCATCAAGGAAAATGCTATATCTGGCGCAAACCCAACACCTCTCATCACCCTGAGAACACCATCCCCACAGTGAAGCATGGTGGTGGCAGCATCATGCTGTGGGGATGTTTTTCATCGGCAGGGACTGGGAAACTGGTCAGAATTGAAGGAATGATGGATGGTGCTAAATACAGGGAGATTCTTGAGGGAAACCTGTTTCAGTCTTCCAGAGATTTGAGACTGGGACGGAGATTCACCTTCCAGCAGGACAATGACCCTAAGCATACTGCTAAAGCAACACTTGAGTGGTTTAAGGGGAAACATTTAAATGTCTTGGAATGGCCTAGTCAAAGCCCAGACCCCAATCCAATTGAGAATTTGTGGTATGACTTAAAGATTGCTGTACACCAGCGGATCCCATCCAACTTGAAGGAGCTGGGGCAGTTTTGCCTTGAAGAATGGGAAAAATCCCAGGGGCTAGATGTGCCAAGCTTATAGAGACATACCCCAAGAGACTTGCAGCTGTAATTGCTGCAAAAGGTGGCTCTACAAAGTATTGACTTTGGGGGGGGGGGGTGAATAGTTATGCACGGTCAAGTTTTCTGTTTTTTTGTCTTATTTCTTGTTTGTTTCACAACAAAAAATATTTTGCATCTTCAAAGTGGTAGGCATGTTGTGTAAATCAAATGATACAAACCCTCCAAAAATAAATTTTTATTCCAGGTTGTAAGGCAACAAAATAGGAAAAATGCCAAGGGGGTTGAATACTTTCGCAAGCCACTGTATGTTCCCATGTTTCCTATTTCACTACTAGGCAATTAGGTATTATTTATTTATGCATGCTAACTTTGATGTAAAAATATTTTTGAGGATTTTTCTTTTCTTCTTGTTGGCATATGATAAAATAATATGCATTCGCAAAATGCCTAGATTTTAACTACATTTTACAGATAACCTGATAATATTGCTTGGTATACGGGCCCCATAAATGGGCATTTGGACCCTGTGTACAAATTTCCTGTCGCCATTTTTGTCGCTCTTCCAGAAGCCCATCCCCCTAGCATCTACCACAGGGAATAATACAGTCAGTGTTTCAGTGAATACACTGAATAGCGGCCGCCGAGACACTAGCTTGGTGGCGAAACCGGGACACACAACACCGAAGATGGCTTCACCGAGGACGATAACCATTGTGGCCCTCTCTTTCGCTCTTGGTCTTTTTTTCGTCTTCATGGGCACCATAAAGCTCACACCAAGATTAAGCAAAGATGCTTACAGTGAGATGGTAAGTAAACCTTTAGCGACAATAAGCTGCAGCTGGAAGCGAAAGCCATTGTTCTGCCTATATCGACGCTCTCAGGCTCTAATAATGTGCTGTGTGCTGTGGACCCACATTTGTAAAAGATCATGAAATAAAATAGCTTATAATATCTAACTGATATATACGATTTGATTGTATGGTTTGTTTCAATCGTGGGAATGAATTTACCCAAGCAAGCAATGAAATGATGGGACCTGCTGCGTGATTATAGCCGATAATAAATGATTTATTGAAGTATAATGATAGAAAAATATTACGTTTGTCTATTTTTCTACGAAAGATTACATAAAATAAAAGATTACCTTTAGGCATAATTAAAATCGAATGAATAGGCTACAGTTTATTCGGCTACAAATAAATAGGCCTGTTTATTTGAAATAGCGACTAGGCAAATAACAGTAGGCCTACACATTTGTCCAGTAGTAGGCCTATTTAATGTCAAATTATCTGTTATTATTAGCCTAATATTAATTTTAAAAACTGTTTTTGAAGGTACATTTTTACATATAGGCTACAGGCAATGGCGGCGCATTCGAGCAAATTCTGAGTTGCACCTGCCTGTTTGGTGCGGATGTTGACTTTGCTTATTAGGCTACCAGCGATGTTAATGCTCATCTGTGCTCTGCTCCTCATTCATGTATGTTCTAATGTAATTCTTATTCCATGCCGAATAGGCCTAGTCATTACATTTCAACGTTTTGGTTGATTTGAGTATTTTAAGGAATATCAAAGACAGTGGTTTTGGTGGTGTCACTGCTGTAGGCCCAAACCCTTCCTTATTCCAGATTTTCCATCCTATAGGAAAAGGGCATTTCGGTGATGCTTGTATATACTACTTACAGTTATAACTCTTAAAACTCAATAGTTCGACTATTTTGATAAAATTAACAACAAAGACGTCTGTGTCAGTGTCATGATTATAGATAAACTGGTAGGCCTAGACATGGCCCTATTGGAACTGAAACTTCCTTAGAGCAAGGTTCTACAAATCGGAGAAATTATATACTGTAGCCTATAGTGCGCCACTAATAATGAATGGAATTACCTCTTTTGCATCTATGAAAATGAATGCTGAAATGTTCTCTCTCCTCGCTTTTCAGAAAAGGGCATACAAGAGCTATGCCAAGGCCTTGCCAGGTCTAAAGAAGATGGGCATCAGCTCGGTGCTGCTCCGTAAGATCATTGGCTCACTGGAGGTGGGCTGTGGTGTGGTTCTGACATTGGTGCCAGGGAGACCCAAGGATGTGGCTAACTTCCTGCTCTTGCTGGTCATGCTGGCAGTCCTCTTCTTCCACCAGCTAGTAGGAGACCCCCTGAAACGATATGCCCATGCTCTGGTCTTTGGTATTCTGCTCACCTGCCGACTGCTCATTGCCCGCCAGAGTGAGGACCGACCTGAGAGGGAGGAGAGCAGGGAAGAACACATCAATGCCCAGGAAAATAACAAAGTCAAGCAATCCTAATCAGGTCTGACCGTCCAGTCTGGGCAGAGCGACAGCGAAACGGAACCTTGTGCGTTTCTTTGGATTGTAGCAATTCAGATTCAAAAGAAACACAGTCGCCACAAGGAGTGATCTATCCACCCAGTCAACCACCCACCCGTCCTCCCTCTCACGCCCTTTTGGCTGACTGATTATTGGTTTCACCTGCTCCCTTGCACTCTCATCCTAAAACTGCAATCCCCTTGTCCTGTATCCCAACCGTGACAGTGGACAAACATACTTGTGGCAACTGTAATCAGCTCAACTCTTTCAAAAAAAGATAGGACCTTTTGTCTCACCAGCCAATTGGTATTTTTCCTCGTTCCCCGGGTTAGGAATCATAACTGAGGAAAGGTTGTGATGTAGGGATGAATACATGAGTAAACTCACGAAATAGTAGGATCTCCCAATTAACGTTCAATAAATACAACATACCCTCAAAACTCCTATTACCCATTTTTATTTAGCATCTATCAAAACATAAGATACAGCATGCCTATGTTTTTAGTTTGTTTTTGACACAAATACCAATTTGAGGGACTTTGTTGGCTTTGAGAATGCTGATGTTTTCCACTATTGAAGATTGGTACTTTTCTATTTTTATTTTATTTTAGGTAGGATGCTAATGATATCCCTTGAATTCAATTGTTATTTTACAGTAATTAAGCATGGTTCATAATTAAATGGTTTAAACCAAACTCATAGCTTATCAGCACTGTTCAGAGATATATTGTAGTTGAACATTGACTCACATTTATTTAAATACAATATACATTATCACATATTTCCATTGGTATTAGTAAAATAAGAATAATTTTAGTGAATTCATATTAGTTTCGTCCAAGCTTTTTCCTGTTGATTAGATTTTCTTGTAACTATTCTTATGCATGAAAATGTACCCCTTTTCCCAAAAGAAAAACCGAACGGTCAAATGGCAAGTCTTTCGCTCATCTCTAATTGATTAATCACTTTATTCGACCCAACACTGTTGTTCAAGAACTCATGTGGAGGAGAGACCTATGGGAAGGAATTTTGCTAGCAATTATGTGTATCCATACATCTATGGTTGCTAGCTTAGTGCTGTCTCTATGTCTCTGAACCACAATCAATAGTCCAGCTGCTTTGTCAAATGACATATCCAATAAAGGACTTGATCTTTGTCTTTTAATAAAGGACTTTGTCTCTCTTTACATCCAATGACAACAAAGGCTTATGTTTATCTGTGAGTCTATTTTGCTCTGGGATTTTTAACAGTATTCTGTTGAATTACTGTGTTAGATAAGTATTCCTATGAGTATAACCATTACCACTGGGCTATTCTTGTAATAGAAAGGTATTTGTTTCATATATAAGTGATGATACCTTTAGTGATCATGAGTAGATAAAGGGGAAGTTTCAGTCAGATGAGCAGTTGTTCAGATGGTCTTTAACATTCATAATGCTTCTGTAAAACAAAATGAGCTAAATAAAGAAATGTATGAGCGAGATCGCCAAGCTATGTGTCCATTATGTATATTTTTATTCAGTTCAAATTAGCAGTTATTCACAAAACATTCAAACAATTTTAGAAAGGCGAATGAATGCTTGGATTGCATTCAGTTTATTGCAAAATTAGAGTACTTGAACTAGGCTTCTTGATATGAATGAGCCTACAACCAGTTTATATGTAGTCCTGCTGAGGCCGTTGGACTACAATGCCCAGGGAACTAGTCCTCAAGACACTCTCGGAAGTATTACGTGCGCCTGCGCAGAACAAACGGTCGCGCGCAAGATTTGAGTTTTGTTTGAATGACTTCGTGCCTGAGGAAAACACAATACATTTTAGCTATGTAGCAATGGCAAAAGCTGCGTACCTGTCGAGGTCAGATTTGGACTCATCATCTGGAAGCGATTTGTCAGTTTCTAGCCGAACTTCTAACAGAAGTTTGCGAGTGTTGGAGAAAGAAAGAAGAAAGAACGAGGCTGGGGATCCATTTCTGCTTGCGCTGAAGTACTTCTCAGAAGGTAGCTATATAGGAAGCTATCGTTAGCTAGCTAGCATATAACTACTAATGCTTGTAGAAGTCAAACGTAACTAATATTTTAGCTACTTTTTAAACTCCAACGTGAACTAATTGCCCGTAATGGCAGAACAGGTTATTTTCTGTCAAAATATGTAAACTTTCAAGCCCGCTCAGCCTTCTTGTGTTGGAAACACCCTTTTACTGTAACTTATTTTGCTACCTAGCGAGCTAGCCGGTTTACAAGCTAATGCATAACGAGTGTGGGCGGGGTAACGTTATGGCTAGACATGCCTGAAGTACATGCACAATTTGCTAGTCATCATTTAACTAGAAAGTACAACGGATGCATATAACTAATCCACAAACAGAGGAGACAGCCTACAGAAATTAATAAGAAATGGTTAGAAGCATGTGACTGGAAATGTTACAGCAGGATGTTACTAGCTAACATTGTTTGTTATGAAAACTACTGTATACATTGGAATTGAATTGCTAACTAAAAGTAACCAACTAGCTAACGTTAACTACTGTAGTTAAAGGGCATCCACCAGTGTCTGGATTCACAGTGAGTTGTCTGTTTGTTTCATAGTGGAGGCGGGTACCCCATGCTTAGGGAACCATGTGCTGGAGAGGAACCTGGTGCTGGTGGAGAGAGTGGGGCTCAGTCGAGGACTCCCTCCTGAGGCGATCTCTGTCATGCTGGACTACGCAATGAGCCTCCGTATGGGTACGACAACAACCAACAATCACTCAGTGTTGTGATGCAAAAATTCTAGCAAAATGTATAGCGCATAGAATTAAAAAGGTATTGTCGGACATTATTCATTCTAATAATGGACAGGTTTTTTTTACATGGGAAATACATTGGAGATAATATAAGGCAAGTACTGGAAACAATAGAACACTATGGAAAATCTGGGAAACCAGGCCTACTATTCATAGCAGACTTCGAAAAGGCATTTGATAAAGTACGACTGGGGTTTATATATAAATGCCTGGAGCATTTCAATTTTGGACAATCTCTTATAAATTGGGTTAAAATCATGTATAGTAACTCTAGGTGTAAAATAGTAAATAATGGCATTTTCTCAGAACGTTTTAAACTGTCAAGAGGAGTGAAACAAGGTTGTCCACTATCGTCATATCTATTTATTATTGCCATCGAGATGTTAGCTATTAAAATCAGATCCAACAATATTATCAAGGGATTAGAAATCCAGGGTTTAAAAACAAAGGTGTCATTGTACGCTGATGAATCATGTTTTCTTTTAACTCCACAACTTGAATCCCTCCACAGCCTCATAGAGGATCTAGATACATTTTCAAACCTCTCTGGATTACAACCAAATTATGATAAATGTACTATATTACGTATTGGATCACTAAAAAATATTTTTTTTACATTAGCTTTATTATTATTTTGTCATTTAGCAGACACTCTTATCCAGAGCAATTTACAGGACCAATTAGGGTTAAGTGCCTTGCTTAAGGGCACATCGACAGATTTTTCACCTAGTCGGCTTGGGGATTAGAACCAGTGACCTTTCGGTTACTGGCTCAATGCTCTTACCCACTAAGCTACCTGCCGCCCCAGTGGGAGAACTTGCACAATTGGTGGTTTTACATTACCTTGTAGTTTACCAATAAAATGGTCTGATGGTGACATGGATATACTCGGAATACATATCCCAAATGAAATAAATGATCTCACGCCAATACATTTTAATAGAAAGTTAGCAAAAATAGATACGATCTTGCTAATATGGAAAGGTAAATACCTGTCAATTTGTGGAAAAATTATCCTGATTAACTCTTTAGTATTATCCCAGTTTACCTATTTGCTTATGGTCTTGCCTACGCCTAGCGAAAGCTAAAAGCTTCAGTCATACAAAAATTATACTTAAATCCGAACTGGTTACCTAGCAAACTAGTAAGATTGTCTCACCTAATGTTCAAGAAGGGACTTTTTCCCTTTATTCAGATTACAACCCCTCACTTTCAGGTATTTGAAAAGGAAATAATCTCCCAAATATCACTATTTCTAAAACAAGCCATAGAAAGTTGGTTGCAATTTCAATTTAGTCCTCCAGAAATGACAGAACAAATATTGCAACAAATATTGTGGTTAAACTCAAATATACTAATTGATAAAAAAAAAAAAAGTTCTTTTTTGAAAAAAGAAATTATAATCTTCGTAAATGACATTATCGGTAGGAATGGTGGAGTTATGTCGCACATGCAGCTAACAAAAACATATGGAAATGTCTGCTCTACCCAAAATTACAACCAAATAATTGCAGCATTACTGCAAAAATGGAAGAGGAAAGTGGAAGGAGGAAAAAGTAAGGAACTTGTCTGTCGGCCTTGCATTAAAGAACATAATTGGTTAAAGAAAATTGGGATAAATAAAAAAGTTTACCAGTTTCATTTAAGGACCAAAAGATTGACAGCCGTCCCATATAGATTGCAAAATAGTTGGGAAGAGATTAGCAAAAATGTTTATTTTCAATTCACAAACTGTAGAAACAATGAGAATAGAAAGGTTCAGAACTTTTGTAAAACATCACAGTACAGTTGAAAAATATATGGCAAATATAAATCCAATATGGATGGTGTTAAGAGATAGATGTGAGGTGTTGAATGGAGCTGAAGGATGGGACTAATAACAACAACTAATAACAACAAGATAACTAGTGTAAGACATACTGTGTCCATAATAAGTATATAGGTTATATATTGTGAGCTTTTGTGAAAGAGCACAGTTAGAAAGATATGGCATATAGAAGCATACCTGATGGACATCATGAAAATGATCGGAGGAAGTTCAGGAGTAAAAACAAACAAAATATAATTATTGACTGTGTCCATAAAATGTATATAGTATGTATAAGGATGAAGTAGAGGCCTAAGCATTGTTGTTCACTAGTTTACTCCAATTAAGGAAGGGATGGTGGGGTTGGAAAGATGTATGTATATGTGTGTGTGTGTGTATGTGTATATATATATATATATATATATATATATATATGTATATGTATATGTATATAAGAAAAAAAACATATGCAAGAAAAAAAACATATGGGGGATTGGAAGTGATGCAGACAATTACATTGATGGAAGTTACAATCTATCTGCCAAATTAAAGCTGATCTACCCCCTAAAAACAAAAAAGAATCACTCAGTGGAAACTGCAGCCATTTGCTTAGACAGACTGACCTGAAATAGCAATTTACACTATGACAAATTCATTTGACCATACATAACATTTCAGCGCTCTGCTCTTTTTCATGCCCTGAACAGGAGGTGTGACGTGTGTTCGGGTCCTGAAGTTTCTGATCCCCGCCACCGTGGTGCCACAGGAGGCCGTTGTTCGAGCTGTGGCGTGGTTATGCGTCAGCAAGATAGCCATCAGCACACAGGTAAAGAGCTCCTCTTTCAAAGGTCTTTACAAGTCACAGATTTAAATGTTGACACTGAAGACCAAACATTACAAAACAATTGTTATCAGAATTGCTCTGTCCACTTTCCCTCTAACTGCTTGAAACTGGTGTTATGGGTGTTTTCCAGGTTATTTTCCTTCGGTGGGTGCTGACTGTTTTCGACATGATCGACTCCAAGGACAATCTTCGAGCCATCTATGGCTTCATCTTCAACTTTGTGACAGAGGAGAATTTGGTATGTGCAGGAGTCATATTCCCCCTTGCTCTAATGATATCAATGAATGTCTTGAGTGTTTACATTGGCATTGCTTTGCTGTTTAAGTAATGATGGATTTGTTTTGTGTTTCAGTCTCCTTACATCTGCCATTTGCTCTACCTTTTGACAAGGAGGGAGAGTGGTAAGTGGCTTTTTGTTAGTCAATGAACCTTTACGATACGGTACACCAGGGTTCTTCAATTCCGGTCCTGGAGGGCCGAAACACTTGTTTTTTTTTCTCTACCTGGTAGTTAATTGCACTCACCTGGTGTCCCAGGTCTGAATTAGCCCCTGATTAGAAGGAGAGGATGAAAACAGAGGTGTCTCGGCCCTCCAGGACCGGAATTGAAGAACCCTGCGGTACACGTTGTTTCTGCAGCACAACATTGCTCTTATCCCTTTCTTGGTTTTTCCCTGTCATAGTTCGGACATTCCGAGTCAGAAAACTGTTGGACCTCCAAGCAAAAAATGGTATTGTCCTGTTTAAATGTTTTTGGTCAATGATTGTAATGTTTTAATTAGGGCTGTCAAATGATTAAAATTTTTAATCAAATTAATCAGAATTTTCAGTGGATTAATCATGATTAATCACTATTTGCAATTACACCTGAATCCTAACCATTTTTTTTCTGAAATGCATACCAAAAGATAAATAACAGGACACAGATACATAATTTTCATATTATGTCTGTTTATTAACACAGCCAAATAATGGTGTTTTAAATCAAGCTGAAACATACTACACACCATAATATTTGTCTTTGTAATGTTCCATCACTTGGCCAAAGCATTTACAAAGCCGCTGTCAGCAAGACTCACTGTGACACTTCTCTGCACCATGTGAGCGACACAGTTCATGTGTTCATAGCGTGTAAGTCGAATTGCGGCAACCATGTTGCGTGCACTGTCAGTCCCAATGGTTGTAGTCTTGCCCTCGATGTCCCACTCACGTGCAACAGACAGGAACTGTTCTTTACAAGCCTCCGCAAAATGACGCTCCTCAGTTTTTAATATAGTCAGCGCAAAAGACTTCAGTTCCCACGTGTCACTGATTAAATGTGCAGTTACTCCGAGGTAATTGTTGTTACTCACTGATGTCCAATGGTCTCCTGTCAGGGCGATATGATTTACTTGAGCCAAGACCTCTTTCCTTTTTTCTTTTTCGTTTTCATAGAGCTCGTGGATTTTCTTCATAACTGTGGCTCTTGACGGTGGCTTATAGAATGAGTCTTGAGACGCCACTTGCAAAACATCAAGGAAACCTGAGTCTTCTACAATGCTAATGGGTCTACAATCCTTTGCAATCCATTTTGCTATTGTGTTGGTCAAATTATCTGAGGTTGATTTTGTTAATTGCCTGCAAACATTCAGCGTGGTCTGGCGCAAACCACTTGCTGAATCTGACGGCCCAGCAAACGCATGTTTGGCGTTGACATGGTACTTCAAGCTTGAACAGCTCCGGTGAAATTGAAACTCCTTCTTACAAATCTTGCAAATAACCTTGTACTTGTTAACTGTACCATCATCATTCTTTTTATATTTGAATCCGTCAATAGGCTCACCTTGCTCCATCTCGCCTCTAGCTCCCAACCACTTTCCTGACCTGAATAATTTGTCACACTGCGCATGCGTGAAATGCTTTAAAAAAATTGACGTAATTAACAGCAAACAACTAATTAACGTCGTTAACGCGCTATTTTTGACAGCCCTAGTTTTAATGCACCTTAATACCTTGTGAATGCCTTGGAGACATCTAATGATTGTATTACCATTATGAAATACTTGGTGATAAATGGCAGGGGGAGAATACTTACGTATTGTTTGAAGCTCTTGTTACATAAATCCCCAAAATAGTTTATCCTCAGTAGCATTATCTATAGTTACACTCTGTGAATTATTGCTACATCCATCAAACTGAGAGCGGAGTCCCCACTGTCAGGATGTTGCACTGAGAGTTCCATTAATTTCCTCTCGTCTACTGTCTCCCCAGGGCAGGCAGTCATTCCTGTTGCACTTGCTGTCGTTGTACAAAGTGTTTTGCCCCGAGTTGGTGACACTTGCTCTTCCATCACGAATGAGGGTTAGTACACAGATCACACCTAGTGACCTCTGTCCATTGCACAAACCACACATTGTCGTTCACCAAACATCAGGGTTGGGGTCGATTTCATCCATATCAAATCCGGAAGTAAATTGAAATTCCAATCCAATTCTCTTAATTGAAACCCTGACAAACATACTTAATGTCACCGTGTATATTTTCTGCTGTCGTTCAGAGTGGGTTTAAGAATCACAACTCCACGTGGAAGGCAGCGCTCAGTGCTGTCCAGAAGAGGAACAACGGCCAAGTGTCGTCAGACATCAGCCTGACCCTGGGAGTGAAACACAAGACCAACTCCAGGAAGAGGGTATGGAGATCAGATGAGCTGTGGCGTAACAGGGAGACCAATGATCTTGAACAGTGTCTTTATTTAGGGTCTTAGTGCTAATTTATAGCATTTAGAAGAATATTGGCGCTTGCTAAATTGTAGTTATGGGGTCAGTAACTATTTATTGCATTCAAAATGCACTGAGTATACAAAACATTAAGAACACTTTCCGTGACAGACTGACCAGGTGAAAGATATGATCCCTTATTGATGTCACTTGTTAAATCCACTTCAATCAGTGTAGATGAAGGGGAGGAGACAGGTTAAAGAATGATTTTTAGGCATTGAGACAATTGAGACGGATTGTGTATGTGTAGGGCGAATGGGCAAGCCAAAAGATTTAAGTGTCTTTGAACGTTGTATGGTAGCAGGTGCCAGGGCGCACCGGTTTGAGTGTGTCAAGAATTGCAATGCTGCTGGGTTTTTCAGTTTCAACAGTTTACCGTGTGTATCAAGAATGATCCACCACCCAAAGCACAACCAGCTAACTTGACACAGCTGTGGGAGGCATTGGCGTCAACATGGGCCAGCATCCCTGTGGAATGCTTTCAACACGTTGTAGAGTCCATGCCCTGACAAATTGAGGTTGTTCTGAAGGCAAAGGGGGGTGCAACTTAATATTAGGAAGGTGTTCCTAATGTTTGGTATACTCGGTGTATGTTAGACTGTAAACATTTTATTCACCTTTGTCCTACATAGATCAAGCCCTTCTTGTTTTGTGTCTGTACCTAATGAACTGTTTACGAATGGATGTACTGATACTCCAATCACTGATCCATCCATCTGTCAGAAATACCATCATCTGGAGCTGCCATCGCTGAGCTCATCTGTCCAGAGGAACTCCCCCTCCTCGAGCAGCAGGAAGGTCTTCCCCCTGGAGCAACTCCACTCCTTCCCACAGCTGCTGGACAACCTCCACTGCATAGAGGTAACCCTCTCCTCCCCCTTCTCTCTGTCTTTATCTCAATCTGTATTTTTTTCTCTCTCTCAGCAGTCTGATTAGTCACACAGCAGTATAGCCTAGAGATACTTTGGTTTGAAACAGATGGAAGGTGAGGATTTAAGCAGGATGGATATACTGTGTTCTGAAGGTGCCCAGCACTACCCGTTTCACTTGTAGTGTCATTTTGCGAACACATGGGGGAGCTATGTCACCGGCACAGTTATGGTTGGAGCACAGAACAGAACAAGGGCTCAACCTTGTCTGCCACTCAGTTTGAGGACTGGCAGTGTCATGTGTTTATTTCTCTGAGCCATAAAACGAAGTCTTGAGCTCTCCATGTCGTTTGTGTTCTAAATTTGTTATTGCTCCGTTTACAGACTTCATCATGGTGTGTTTGTCCAAACAAGTCATGAATTAACAGGCCAACAGAGATGTATAACGTGGAGCCACATTGAAAAAGTTATAAAGCATTGACAATTACAAAAGTGCTGCACACAAATACTGTTTGCTTGGCAGATCCATTGACCTGATCAACCCAGCTACATTTCTTTAAAATGCTTAAGGACATTTATGCTTCACGCTACATCAATTCCCCCCACGGAGCCAACGTGTCCAACAAGCTGTTGTGACAGCACTTGCTACTTTTTATGGCTATTGGTGGACAGGACAGATCAGCTAGTACTGTCCATCATGCAGTGCATGAGGAACGATGCGTTTGCTCCTTAATTATGGGAAGACTCAGCCATGTCCATTGACAATCTGTCTGTCTTTCTCTTTATTTATTAAGTTTCCATATTGCCGGGCAGCTATTCACATAATAGACAAACCGGCCAGCCCGTGTGGAGAAATGTCTGAATGCTTCCTGCCACAGACATGGCCATGATGACTGTATTATGAGGATAAGTAGATGTGACAGATTTAGTCCAGTCACTCAGTGACAGATTGATTGCTCACTCATTGAAAACAAGGACATGGGCAACAGAGATTCTCTTCTTCAATAGGGGCTGCTAATATCCTGACATTAAGCTATTTAAAACATGATGCTGGCTTGCAGTTAGATGGCCCCTCAATTGGTATGCTGAAATGTATTTGTGTTTGTGTTGTGGGGTGGGAAGGTGGTGGGGTTGGTCATTATAAGTGTGTTTAAAGCGTGAGTGGATGGTGGTGTTTGATGTGCATACTGTAAATGTGTGTTGACTCTTCTAATAATCATGTCTCCCTTCCACAGCTCCCATCCCAGATGGGTTCTCTGCTGGGCTCCAGTCTGGCCCTCTGTTACCTGGACTACGTACAAGATGACTCCGCCTTCCTCCGACTCAACTTCTGGCTGGGCCACGCCCTCCATGAGGGTACAACCACTACGTATTCCTCTGTTGTCTCTCTCTCTCTGCGGAAATGTGGCGGCAGGTAGCCTAGCGGTTAGTGCGTTGAGCCAGTAACCGAAAGGTTGCTAGTTCCAATCCCAGAGCCAGCTAGTTCCAATCCCAGAGCCAACTAGGTGAAAAATCTGTCGATCTTCCCACTTAACACTGTGCGCACCGTGCCTGCTCCGAGCGCTCCGTGCTCACCGTGCCTGCTCTGTGCTCACCGTGCCTGCTCTGTGCTCACCGTGCCTGCTCCGTGCTCACCGTGCCTGCTCTGTGCTCACCGTGCCTGCTCCAAGCTCACCGTGCGTGCTCACCGTGCCTGCTCTGTGCTCACCGTGCCTGCTCCGTGCTCACCGTGCCTGCTCCGTGCTCACCGTGCCTGCTCCAAGCTCTCCGTGCTCACCGTGCCTGCACCGTGCTCACCGTGCCTGCTCCAAGCTCTCCGTGCTCACCGTGCCTGCACCGTGCTCACCGTGCCTGCTCCGTGCTCACCGTGCCTGCTTTGTGCGCGCTGCTCTTACTCATTGCTAGCTCTAGCCTGTCCTAAGGAAGGACTGAAGTCACTGGGAGTCTGGGCTGCATCACCACTTATGCTGCACAGAGGTTAAAGGAAATGTTCACAATTTTTCAACTCCATATTCATCGACTCCAGCACCACCCCAACGTCAACATACTGTATGTGAAAATGGCGTGTTACTATGTTTTGTGCTTCGAACTGTGTGTGTAAATTACGTCATGGGTCTTCGAGACAGCGCAAACTTGTATTAAATAAGACATTGCTTCTTTTAGGAAAATGTGGTTGATCAGTATAATAAGATTCTTCCCAAATGGAAGGGAAACAACATTTTGTTTTTCATCTGCAGCCCAATGAAATCAGCCAAAACAAGCTCAATAACTCAATGCATGCACACACTCCTATTGAATTGCTTTCACCTGTATTGTGGATAGGCCTAGGCTAAATTTGGATTTACCCAGTTTATCAATAGAGATTTACCATTCAAATAAATGGTTACCATTATATTTTTATGTAGTTAGATTGGTAAAAAAAAAGAGTATAATTGAGTGTATGATTGTATAATTGATTCATTAATGCATACATTCAAAAATCGAACATTTCAAATATAATGATATTGACCTCCAAAGATCTGTTGATCGAGTGCCATTCTGTGACTTTGGCTAAAACGTCTTCTTTTTTTGGCGTGGTATCGTTTTGGTGTTAAGTATCGTGATGGTATCGAGTATCGTGATACTAAACCTGATATCGGTATCGAAGTCTAAATTCTGGGATTGTGACATCACTACCACACACTTGTACATACATATAAGCAACACCTATCTGACCTTTGTCTTACGTTGTGAAAGAGGAAGTAGAAAGAAGAAAGGCCCAAAACACTGAACCCTCAGCCATTCCCAGTAGGCATTGCAAAGCAACGCTCTGTAGAAAAGCTTTTATGAAAATTAAACATTTGGCTGTCAAGATTGTACAAATCCACAATGTGACTTTTTCACCATTTTAAAATCTCTTAATTTCCCTCTTTATTTTTGGGTTTCAGAGTTTCTGTTCTGCAGTGGGGACGGGGGCTCTGGGAGTTCGTCCGAGGCCCTCCACCTCCTCAACATGTTGCTCTCCACGCAGCAGTTCCTCCAGGTGAGCTCCCCACCTCACCCCCTCCAGGCTCCTCTCACCCCCAGTTCCCACCCCCACCTTTCCCTTTAATGCCAGATTTGGATCTGTCAGAGCATGTTAAACTCGCTCTTCTCTGCTCCCACTCTCTTCCCCCTCGCTGCTCGTTAATAAATAATGCCACAGTCAAACGCTTATTTGAGATGCGTATGTTTTGTCTCTCCCCCTCCCTCCCGCTGTCCTCAGGAGGGCTTCTCCAGCACCGAGGGCTTCCTCTACAAGTTCCTGAACGTTTGGGACGGTTCACTCCTCCGCCCCCAGATTCTGGGCCTGCTGAGTGACATCCCTGTGGTCCCCAGTTCCTGTGAGTAGGCCCTGTTTGCTTGGCTGCCTTACGCTCCTCTCCTCCAGTCTCTCTCCTAATTAAACTGCTGAACTGTAACGGCGGGAAGACACGTGACTACATTTCCCAGGCTCCCTGGTAAATGCTGCCAGCCTGCCATGTGCTGGGGATTGCAACCATGCAATCCCCAGCACATGGCAGGCTGGCAGCATATACCAGGGAGCCTGGGAAACGTAGTCACATGGTCGAATTAAATGGTTTGTGCAAATTTCCTTGCTCTCCCGCATCTCTCCCAGGTATCAGCCAGCTTCTGTTTGAGCCTCTCATGCAGCTGTTCTTCACCTCCACGCTGTTCTTCAAGGTAATAGTCAACATAATACCTCCAGAACCGCTTTGAATTAAGTATAAGAAGCTTGCATCATACCACTATATCCATTTACAGTCCAGTTATCATCTGCCTTTTAATCCTGGGTTGTATTCATTTGGCACAAAACGGAAGAAAACATACTGAAATGGGGAGGAACTACTTGTACTTGTGCAGTGAGAACCATTTTGTTTTTGTTTTCTGATGAGACGTTTTACAACGTTTTGCTACGGTGTGCCCTATTACGACCCTGTTGTCATTGTAAATATAGTTATTTCCCCACTTTGAATAAGTCTACCACCCCTCTGTTGTCTGTCCAGTGCAGTGTGATTGACTGTCTGAACAACATGCTGTTGAAGTGGTTGACCTGGCACTCTGTGTACGCCCTGGAGGACGGCCTGGACATCAGTCTCCACAGCCACACACCCATGTGAGTCTCACTGTCCCAGTCACACACTCGCACACTTCCAACACCAAAGCCCTGGAACTTCCTTTAGTTAAAGACACATTTCAATGTCTTCCTCTCCAGTATTCAAACTCTTCCCAAATGGCTGAACCCTGTCAATACATTTTTATTCCCTTCCCATTTCAAACTTCACCTCTGGAGAGAAAAAAAAAGCTGTGCTGAAATCGATGGCTGTGGTTTGTGGTTGTCCACCTCCTCTCAACTTCCTCGGTTTCTCCTCAACACTGTCCTCTGGAACGCAGCAGCGTAATGTACTGCAGTGTGTGTGTCTCTGTCCGCCCGGCCGCATTGCTGCACACTCAGCGCTGATTTGGTTATTGTCTTTTATTGCGTTAACTGAGATGGGCGCGGCTGCTGAAGGAGAAATGAATATGATCCAAGGGCAAAGCCCCCTGTTTGAACGTCTCACTAGTCCCATGCATCATTATGATTCACGTGTTTCCTTCCTGTTATTAAGGCCTGCGTGTTATGTTGCATAACGTGACTATTCTTCAACTCCTCCCCAGGAACATGACTCTGTCTGGCTTCATGGACTCTGTCATGGAGCTGGTGCGTTTCGTGGGCCGCCTGGCCACCGTGGGGCTGCAGCTGGAGGGCTGCCACTCCCTGTTCCTCAGCTTCGTCCTGGACTTCTACGAGACGGTAATCAAGCCAGATGAAGCCAGTACATTTCATTGAATACATAAAGGGGGGGGGAGTCCAGTGCTCCCTTCTTATAGTGATTTCACCCGTGCAGGACTGTTCGAACACTAAGTGGTTGATCCCCGTAATCACATTCACTTTAAGCAGAGTGCACTGGCTCAGTTGTTCCATATTCATGCTCCATTTAGAAAAGGAGACAACCGTGTTCTTTCTGGGGTGTTGAAGTGTGTGCCCCTGTGTGTGCCATGCAGGTGTGTGACATGTTCCTGAAGTACGGACTCCCCCTGGTGGTCATGCCCCCCGTGGGAGTGTTTTACCCAGCCCTGTTCGCCACCGACCCCGTCAGCGTGGACCGCCTCGGCTACATCATGTACAGGTGAGGAGTGGTGATGTCAACGCCAATATTATAATGTCAACACCGGGACTGATGGAAGTCAACACAGTCACGTCAGAGTGTCATCTTTCACAAACAAAGTGCGTTCACTGCCATGTCGTGTGCAAAGCATCTGCATGTATGTCAAACTTTCTCCTATATATATATTTGATAACGGAAGTGAATGGTAAGCAGTCTTGGTGCGGCATGCCAGCCAGAACATTGCATTTATGATTCATAATAATGAAGGGTCCAGGGCGCAGAATTGCACTAAGATCCATTTTCTCTGAGAACCTTTCGAGCCCATGAAGAATACAAACGGCATGCATTGCTCAAAGCGCCAATGTCTTGTCGCACAAATACACAAAGCATACATCTATAGCAGGGGTACTCTAGTACTAGTTAAAAAGGTCCGGTCACACACATTTCCTAGGTGGCAAAGGTCCGGATGGATAATGTCATTTATCGGCATAGTAACAAACCCACACCTCACAACCCATGCGACCCCAAACTGTTCACACCCCTCTTGTTGGCGGAGAGACCGTTTTGCAGTTTTAAAGCAAATTTCCAGCATTTCTACACATTTTGCATGTGGCAGGGAATTGTTTTTGCTGTTTTAAAGCTCATTTCCTGCAATTCGACACATTGTTACGTGTCTTATGTGTGTTCATGTAATACCAGAGGTTGAAGGCCGACTAGACCCGTTGTCCGTATTGACCCCCTTCTGGGTCCGGATCCGGACCTCGGTCCGCCAGTTGAGAATAGGGGAATCTATAGCATGACAAAAGACCACTGCTTTTATTAAAACAGGCCAAACATCTGGTCTTAGCAACTGCTGCTACTATGGTGGTTGTTTTTAAGCTTGTTCTTGTAAAAATTTCTGCTCACAATAAATGGCCTTTAGGACAGATGTTTACATAACATGGAAAGCAATATGGTTGTTTTTCTACCCTTATACAGACCACTACATGTATTGCTCTTTTCTTCAGGTACAAGAAGAACCTGATCTCTGCTAAGTGCCAACAACAGGAGACCAAGGTAATGAAAGCACTCCCTTTAAGATATGTTCTCTGCTTTGCATATCTATCAGTGTTTTTGCATAATCAAGCAATTCAAGGCTCCTCGCGAGGCCACTTCTACCCGTCCACATGATGAACGAAACTATTAGAATTAAGTGCTGATTACAGAATTGCAATTTTGGTGGTTACTCGTTTATACAAAAAAACAATTCTAGTGTATGAAGGCAATTAAATGTTTAAGTAGATACTGCCATTTGTATACAGTGCCTTCAGAATGTATACACACCCCTTGACTGAGATTTTGTCACTGATCTACACACAATACCCCATAATGTGGAATTATGTTTTTAGAAATGTTTACAAATTAAAAATGAAAAGCTGAAATGTCTTGAGTCAATAAGTATTCAACCCTTTTTGTTATGGCATGCCTAAATACGTTCAGGAGTAAAAATGTGCTTAACAAGTCACATAATTAGTTGCATGGACTCTGTGTGCAATAATAGTGTTTAACATGATTTTTGAATGACTACCTCATCTCTGTACCCCACACATACAATTATCTGTAATGTCCCTCAGTCGTGCAGTGAATTTCAAACACAGATTTAACCACAAAGACCAGGGAGGTTTTTCAATGCTTCGCATAGAAGGGCACCTACAGTTGAAATCGGAAGTTTACATACACTTAGGTTGGAGTCATTAAAACTAGTTTTTCAACCACTCCACAAATGTCTTGTTAACAAACTATAGTTTTGGCAGGTCGGTTAGGACATCTATTTTGTGTATGACACAAGTTAATTTTTCCAACAATTGTTTACAGACAGATTATTTCACTTATAATTCACTGTATCACAATTCCAGTGGGTCAGAAGTTTACATACACTAAATTGACTGTGCCTTTAAACAGTGTTGAAAATTCCAGTAAATGATGTCATGGCTTTAGAAGCTTCTGACAGGCTAATTGACATCATTTGAGTCAATTGGAGGTGTACCTGTGGATGTATTTCAAGGCCTACCTTCAAACTCAGTGCCTCTTTGCCTGACATGGGAAAATCAAAAGAAATCAGGGGACAAAGATCATACTTTTTGGAGAAATGTCCTCTGGTCTGATGAAACAAAAATAGAACTGTTTGGTCATAATGACCATCGTTATGTTTGGAGGAAAAAGGAGAAGGCTTGCAAGCCGAAGAACACCATCCCAACCGTGATGCACGGGGGTGGCAGCATCATGCTGTGGGGGTGCTTTGCTGCAGGAGGGACTGGTGCACTTCACAAAATAGATGGCATCATGAGGAAGGAAAATTATGTGGATATATTGAAGCAACATCAGTCAGGAAGTTAAAGCTTGGTCGCAAATGGGTCTTCCAAATGGACAATGACCCCAAGCATACTTCCAAAGTTGTGGAGAAATGGCTTAAGGACAACAAAGTCAAGGTATTGGAGTGGCCATCACAATGCCCTGACCTCAATCCTATAGACAGTTTGTGGGCAGAACTGAAAAGGCGTGTGCGAGCAAGGAGGCCTACAAACCTGACTCAGTTACACCAGCTCTGTCAGGAGGAATGGGCCAAAATTCCCCCAACTTATTGTGGGAAGCTTGTTGGAAGGCTACCTGAAACTTTTGACCCAAGTTAAACAATTTAAAGGCAATGCTACCAAATACTAATTGAGTGTATGTAAACTTCTGACCCACTGGGAATGTGATGAAAGAAATAAAAGCTGAAATAAATAATTCTCTCTACTATTATTCTGACATTTCACATTCTTAAAAAAGAGTGGTGATCCTAACTGACCTAAGACAGGGAATATTTACTAGGATTAAATGTAAGGAATTGTGAAAAACTGAGTTTAAATTTATTTGGCTAAGGTGTATGTAAACTTCCGACTTCAACTGTATAGACAGGTTGGTTGTTTAGCAACAAAAACAACACGTGCACAACCATGGGGCAAAACAGCTGAGGTTGGTTTAGATTGTTGACAACATGTAAGCTATATTTCGTCTCCAATGTTTATTGAAAACATAAATAAATTTGCACATAAGCACTAGTTGTCTCTTAAATACATTGTTACAGTTTTTGGTTAGTTAGCTAGCGAATTTTAGCCATATAAGCATTGACATGAAATCCGTCAAACACCTCAAATTTATTTTATTTTATTTATTTAACCTTTATTTAACCAGGAAGGGCTCATTGAGATTTAAAATCTCTTTTTCAAGAGCGTCCTGGCCAAGATAGGCAGCACCAAGTCATTACAAAAAATTACAGACAGACAACATGAAAAACTACAAGTAATCTAGTAAAAACCATTCATGAATTCACAGGAGTATAACAATATCAAAAACAGCAAATTAAAAACATTGACAGGTCAGGGAATCAGCCTCAAAATCCTTCATCAGAGATTTAAAAACACCAATCGGGACAAGTTCTTCCAGTTTAAAATTATTTTGTAAGGTGTTCCAAGACGATGGCGCAGAGTACATAAAAGACCTTTTACCAAATTCAGTTCGGACATTTGGAACAGTTAGCAGGATAAAGTCCAGTGAACGAAGAGAGTACCCACCACATTTCTGAACAATAAAAATGCCCAAATAAAAAGGTAGTAAACCCAAAATGGCTTTGTAAATAAAAGTATACCAGTGACTGAGCCTACGAGTGACTAGAGAAGGCCAGCCAACCCTGGTATGCAAAGTACAGTGGTGCGTAAGGGTTTTACAGTTTAAAATAAATCTCAAAGTACCATGATAAAGAGTGTCAATTGATCTCAAACACTGAGCGGAAGCATTCATATATAAAATATCCCCATAGTCTAGTAAAGGCATAAATGTAGCTGATACTAGCCTCCTTCTGGCTTCAAAAGAAAAACAGGCCTTATTCCTAAAATAAAATCCCAATTTCAGCTTCAATTTTTTTGTAAGTTGTTGAATATGCAATTTAAAAGAGAGGCCGTCATCAATTAGAATTCCAAGATATTTATGAGGTTACAACCTCAATCTCCTTGCCCTGACAGGTAGTAACAGGTGAAAGGTTCAGAGGTCTATTTCTTGCATTAGAAAACACCATTAGTTTAGTTTTGTCAGTATTGAGGATAAGCTTCAATTGACACAAGGTATGTTGAACAGTATAAAAAGCAGTTTGCAAGTTCTGGAAAGCTTTTGTAAGAGATGAGGCACAACAGTAAATAACAGTATCATCAGCATAAAAATGAAGTTGTGCATTTTGGACATTTTTGTCCAAATCATTAATATAAATAGTGAATAAGAGAGGACCAAGTACAGAGCCCTGGGGCACACCATTCAGGACAGACAATTTAACAGACATAAGCCCATCAAATTGAGTGCTAAATCAAGACATGGTGTCAATAACAAGATGAAACGAGCCACTTACAATTCCAAACATGGTAGTTTTTTATCATTCTTGCTAGCAATCTGGCCAACCAACAATCACAACAACAGGCTGAGTTCTGCCCCATGGAAGCGCGCACATTGTTTTCGTAATGTTGTCAGCTAACCCATTTTATAGATAGATGGGTAGGAAAAAAAGCAGACATTGAATATCTCTTTGAGCATGGTGCAGTTATTAATTACACTTTGGATGTTGTATCAATACACCCAGTCACTACAAAGATACAGGCGCCCTTCCTAACTCAGTTGCCAGAGAGGAAGGAAATCGCTCAGGGATTTCACCTTGAGGCCAATGGTGATTTTAAAACAGTTAGTTTAATGGCTGTGATAGGAGAAAACTGAGGATGGATCAACAACATTGTAGTTACTCCACAATACTAACCTAAATGACAGAGCGAAAAGAAGGAAGCCTGTACATAATAAAAATATTCCAAAACATGCATCCTGTTTGCAATATGGAATTAAAGTTATACTGCAAAAAAATGTGGCAAAGAATGAACTTTTTGTCCTGAATACAAAGCAGTACGTTTGGGGCAAATCCAACACAACACATCACTGAGTAGCACTCATCATATTTTTAAGCATGGTGGTGGCTGCATCATGTTCTGGGTATGCTTATCATTGGCAAGGACTAGGAACCTTTTTTAGGATAAAAATAAACTGAATAGAGCTAAGCACAGGCAAAATCGTCATGGAAAACCTGGTTCAGTCTGCTTTCCAACAGACACTGGGAGAAAAATGCACCTTTCAGCAGGACAATAACCCTAAAACACAAGGCCAAATATACACTGGAGTTGTTTACCAAGACGACATTGAATGTTCCTGAGTAGCCTAGTTACAGTTTTGACTCAAATAGGCTTGGAAATCTATGGCAAGACATGAAAATGTCTGTAGCAATGATCAACAACCAACTTGAGCTTGAAGAATTTAAGAATAATGGGCAAATGTTGCGCAAAATGGTGTGCAAAGCTCTGAGACTTAGCCAGAAAGAGTCACAGCTGTAATCACTGCCAAAAGTGGTTCTACAAAGTATTGACTCAGGGGTGTGAATACTTATTTAAATGAGATTGCTGTATTTTATTTTCAATAAATGTACTACAATTTCTAAAAACATGTTTTCCCTTGGTCATGGGGTATTGTGTGTAAGATGAGTGAGAGAAAAAAATCTATTTAATCCTTTTTAAATTCAGGCTTTAACACAACAAAATGTGGAATAATTCAAAGGGTATGAATACTTTCTGAAGGCACTCTGGGTGCGAAAACACCAATATGTTTACCCCATATTTCCGACAGCACGTCTTACCAAGACAAATGGGTCCAGTAAGCGGCATGCAAATTGGTCAGCGCGTGCAGACATTAGAGATAATGGACCTGAGATTTAACCACTCAACACCCTATCCGGTGATATTCCATGAGAGAGCCTATTTATTTAGCATGTGTCACACGCTTATTCAGTGTTTAAACTACATCTCCATCGCTCTCTTTTTCCTCTCTTTCTTGTCATCTCTCCATCACAGCAGGCGTTTCACATCAGCAGGCAGACGTACCGGGAGTTTAACCATTACCTGCTTTTCATGGTGAGCTGCCTGTGGAACTCCAAGATGTTCCTGCCAGGCATGGCCATCGAGGTGGACCAGGAGCTCCTGGCTCTCAGCAAAGTGCCCGAGCCCTGGACCAGCTTCGACCTCATCCACCACCCTGCCTTCCTCGGCTACGCCCTTGACTTTCATTGCAAAGTGAGTTTAGATTAGAATTTGTATTTAATTTAGAAAATATTTGCGATAATTGGATTTATATAGTTATTTACTTATTGCATTTTGCCAGGCATTATATAAAGTCCAGATCCATGAAACCAGTATTGTATATAATTTTCATAAATGTCCACTTTATATATTAAGTCTAATTTTCAAACTTCAAGAGAAACACCTGACGCAAAAGGGAGCAGTCATCCTCTCCAGTTGAATTAATACATTTTAAGGCCGGACAAGGAGATTAATTTGGTATTAATTTATCTTTTATAGAAGATCCATTAATACAGAATCACATTTTATTACTCATGGGCGCTGCATGAGACTTGATTTTTCATCATGTTTAATTATCCAAGTACCTCTTTTTGGTCCGAACCGCTGCAACACCCAGTACGCTGTTCTATTGAGATTTACTGTGAGGGGGGAAACTGTTGAATATTAATGCTTCTCTCTTTATCAGTGTTGGCCAGAGAGGAAGGAAATGGATCTCAATTCCATAAAGGTACCGCAGTCTTACCACTTCTTTCGTTTTAATGTACTGTACGTACGTGCACTGATGTGCATTTTAAAGTGTGCCGTTTGATTTTTTTATGGACCTCATGCTACTGATCAGCAAGCCATAGGAGGTCCTGGATGGTCCTTGTGTAATGGATGGTCTGTAACGCTGTCCGTCTGTCTCTGTAGGCCGGGAAGCAGTGGGTATGGTACCTGGAGTTTCTCTTCTCTCAGGGCTTTCAGGGCCTCCAACAGTTTGTCCAGAGTAGCATCAACCGGCGCTCTGCGGCTGGAACCAATGACCAGGGTCAGGGAGACAGCCAGCCCACAAGCAGTTAAACGACAGAGGATAAAACACAAAAGACTGAAACTTCTCCTTGTTGTAAAGGATGCATACATGTTTTATCTTTCGCCATCTTCTCCAAGGCAAGATTCACAAGAGACTAGAGTATCTCTGTAAATAGACACTTTTTAAAATCGTGATGTATTTTTATTTTGTCCTGTCCCTATTTTAATTCCGCTTGGTGCTCATGTGTTGTCTGTTCTCTTGTATAGCTTACGCATCTATCTATTATTTCTGTGGAACTTGCACATTAATAAAAATATTATTTTAGGATTTTATTTTAGATTAAAGCATCCCCCCCCTGGTCTTTTACTCAATTACACCAATGCTCCTAAAAAGCTAACATTAAACATGCTGGAACATGTTCACTTATTCAGAATATATTTTCTATTAAAAGCCATCGGTAGAATTCATTATGGGGGAAGTCATCAGTATCTATTGCAGGTACTGGCTCAACCTTCTGGAAAACATTTTCCCTTAATTGAAGGATCCATCTGGATAGTTAATAGGCCCTTGGCTCTCCAGTTATCTTGGAACATGCTGGGTGCAGGGAAACACATTGCACGCCATACATTCTCACGGTGCCACCATAGACTTCCCCTCTGAGCATCACCATTACTGACAATGGGGTCCACAGGTCTGCTTTGTGTGCATTCTGTATGTATTATGGCTGTATTCATGTCACTATTGAGTCAATTCTTCAGCCCATTGTTCCTTTTTATTTTTCAACGTAGTGTAGTGGTGTGTGGGTCAGCTGTTTGTGCACCCACCCGCAATTGCCCGACTATAGCCAATGTGAAAATCTGAGGCCCGCACCTGACCCTAACCCGCTAATATAGAAAATGTGTTGTAGGCTACAGTCAGAGACGGAAGGATTTGCCTGATTTTCGATTTCTGACATTTTGGTAGGCTATTTGTTTCTCAACTTGTCTGTAATTAAATAGGCTACACGCAGCTTCTCTTCTGTCCATTAGCCTATATGTTGCCCTAGAAGACTAAGTAAACCCTTGCTCGCCCGAATGTCATACGTCAATACAATGAATGCTTCAAACTATACTGAACAAAAATCTAAATGCAACATGTAAAGTGTTGGTCCCATGTTTCATGAGCTGAAATAAAAGATACCAGAACTGTTCCATATGCCCAAAAACATATTTCTCATTTTGTGCACAAATTTGTTTCGATCCCTGTTAGTGAGCATTTCTCCTTTGCCAAGATAATCCATCCACCTGACAGGTAGGTGTGGCATATCAAGAAGCTGATTAAACAGCATGATCATTACAGAGGTGCACCTTGTGCTGGGGATAAAAGGCCACTCTAAAATGTGCAGTTTTGTGTCACAACACGATACACATGTCTCAAGTTTTGAGGAAGCGTGCAGTTGGCATGCTGACTGCAAGAATGTCCACCAGAGCTGTTGACAGAAAATGTAATGTTTATTTCTCTACCATAAGCCGCCTCCAACGTTATTTTAGAGAATTTGGCAGTATGTCCAACCGGCCTCACAACCGGAGACCACGTGTAACCACGCCAGCCCAGGACCTCCACATCCGGCTTCTTCACCTGCAGGATCGTCTGAGAGCAGCCACCCGGACAGTTTATAAAACTAAGGAGTAGTTCTGTCTGTAATAAAGCCCTTTTGTGGGGGGAAAACTATTCTGATTGGCTGAGCCTGTCTCCCAAGTGGGTGGGCCTACACCCACCCATGGCTGCACCCCTGCCCAGGCATGTGAAATCCATAGATTAGGGCCTAATGAATTTATTTCAATTGACTGATTTTCTTATATGAACTGTAACTCAGTAAAATTGTTGAAATTTTTGCCTGTTGAGTTTATAGTTTTGTTCAGTGTAATTGACATCGTTCAAATTTTCTGTCATCGCCGCTTATTTCGCGGAGCAAAGACGTTTAGGGACCGGGATCAAATGCAATATTTGTTTTTTAAACGGAAAGGTTTTCTGTGCAAAATTTCCAAATGACATTAGTTTGACAGGTTGTAAGTAAATGGAAAGCTGTGAAAACGACCCAAAATGTTTCTGAAAAGATTTCAGTTGGCTTGGATGCATACTTTATGTGGTTGAAATACTATCCGCTTTTATGATGCTGATAAAGACAGCACATCCACAGACATTTCCATTCTCTCAATAAATCAATCATTTTTCTCCACTCCTGTTCCCGAGTCAAAAAGTAGCCTACATTTTGTGTATTATTTTACTGCAAGAAATGCTTAATTCTGCAGGAGTTAATATTAAGATATGTGAGAAGTTATAGAATACATAGTCAGTGATTTCAGTTTCCATGTCCATCTGAACAGTAGGCTACAGTTCCCTTGAAGTGTCATAAGCCTATCTGAAGTCCCAATCTAGTGACTGTCGAATTTGTGTAGCACATCACAACCTTCACACTGCTATCATCCTCTTTTACCACTTCACCAAATCTTTCCCAAACATTACTTTTCTGGACCTCCCTTATCTTTATTTTACAACTCTCCATTTCACAGCATTTCTCTTATTGAATTAAACTCCAACATTGTCCCTTTTGCCTCGGACCTTAACTTTTTCTGCCTGTTCCCAAAAGCATGTTGCGCGCATAGTTAGGCCATAGGCTTATGCGCTAATGCCAGATAGCATGCAATAATGAAAGAAATACCTCAGTGTAGCCTATAGATATAAATTGCACAATAATTATACAGTTATGGATTTTTTAAAGGTATTGTTTTCTCTTTATTCAACCCGACCGAAACCACACCCACCCTTAATCCACCCACTATTTCATGATCCTAAACCTGCCCTGCGGAAATAACCACGGGGCCTGCAGGTTATGAGTCAACCCGCACATCACTAACGTAGCGGTATAACAATGTCAATGTAATGGTCCATTTCACATGAATTGCCGACACTTTAACAATCAATTCATCATAAATTAAGTGTTTCCCCTAAAAAAAAGTCCCAGCAGCAGTGTCAGCGCTAGCAGGGGTCTTCCTGAAGCATACATATAGATGCATATAAATTATAAATAAAAAGGGACCGTAATTGGATCATTGCTGTGTCTAGACCCCATTTTATGCAACTAAGTACCTCAATTTCACAGCTGAAAGTTTAGCTCTGATATACTACTTGTAATTGTGTGTTTTTAATCTTTGAATACCCCACAACCTTATTCTTTGATTTAATGAGACCCTTGTCACTGTTCCCATCTCTGGAGCCAATAGTCTCCCTGGGGTGTAGAACTATCCTGCGGCTGTTTTGTTTGGCACCTTGTTTTGAGGGAGGTTGAAAACATTGCCTGAATGCATAGGATCCTTTTATACAGTATTCTATAATTAGACTAGCTATATCACAGGACAAGGAAACTCCAACTAAAGTAGCCTTTCATGGATGATGACTATCAGTGGATATGTATTTCCAACATTTAATATTACATTCTGGTACAAAGTTGACCGACATTTTTTAAAAGTAAGATTTTTAAGGCAGATTTTCTATGCGCGGAACTATTTTGAATAGCTGCGCGGGCCACCTTAAGCAGGTCTCTGCGGTTAACTGCAATGAGAGCGAGACTCCAGCGTTACAGGGCTTCTCTGACCTGAGTGCTCTTCTGCGGTTTGAAATGTTCATCTTCGCATCAGTCTCAGCGCACTTTTCGTCTTTTCCCCAATTCATGGGTATTTCAGTCTGCAAGACAAGTCTATTAGGCTATTCCGTGGCCCTTTGAGACACTACCTGAGCCAAATCTCTGCCCGGCGAGAAAGGTAAGATTACATGCATCCCAAGTATGGATTTCTGCAATGTGTGTTTAATTAGACCAGTGAAAGCAAGTAAATGTGTTTTGCATTATATTATTGTCTATAAGTCACTGACATAACACGACATATTCGGTTCTTGTGTTATGTTTCTTTTTGTGGAAAACATTAAATCAATGTTTTAATCGGGCGTCATGCCTAATGCCCGATGTTGTGCGCGGTTGTCCGGGTTAGATGATCTGCCGGGCTTTCAATAGACTAATTATAAAATGCTAGAATATAGGCGGCTGTCTGCATTAGGTATTGTAGGCACAATGTTGCATACATAGGAATAATACACTATCCTTGCTTTCTGTTCGGCGTGATTCTACGTGCGAGAATACTAAAGGTTATATCTGCCAACTCAAGATTTTGGCAACGGGCGCAGCAGATGACTTATCCAGAAGCCAAAAATGTGTGCGAGCTCCTTACACAAATTTGAGCTGTTGCATATGCCAAGATCAGTTCTGTCATGTCATTCGATTTGCATGGCATGTTGCATTTTCATTATTTGTAGTCTAAATGGAGAATGTGTCTTATTTGGGCATCGGGCTATTTAGCTTCCCGATGCCCAGTGATACCGGTGAATTCAAATATAAAGGCTAATCATTTGTTTCAATATATTGGTAAAGAGGTCTATCTGACTCTACTGAGAAGAAACATATGTTGACACTGGGGATATTATTTGAAAGGAAAATCTAGTAGTTTCCGTTGTATTAATGGATTTTTACCCCGTTTTATAGATGACAGTACTTAAAATAGGAGCTTGAAGGTTCTTTATAAAGCTGCATTGTGAACCATTCTTTGATCTTCCTACAGCCGGACAGCTCCCTGTGCTTGTGGCAGTTTAGTACAGTCAGAGAGATGAACATATGAAAGTGTGGGAGCTCGAAGTGCTGCTTTAGTAATAACAGAATAATGCCCATAAACAGGAAAGTAGCCTATATGTGTGACATGAAGAAATGCCATTTAGTAGACGCTTTTATCTAAAGCGACTTAAGGTCAGTCATGCGTGCATACGTTTTTTTACTTATGTGTGGTCCCGGAAATCGAACCCACTATATTGGCGTTGAAAGCGCCATGCTCCACCAACTGAGCTACAGAGAGAGGACCACTATCCTGCTTGGGAGGGAATGGGTGATGTAGTATGTGTGATCAACAGAATACAACGGTTTTTGTGATGCTATAGTTTATTGTGCTTTAACTGCATTCAGTGTATCAAAGACTTGTTGGCTATAGGGGCTCAGTATTCATTTGAAACATGTTTAAAGGGGTTAGGAGTATGTTTCATTGTCAATGCCTCTCCCTTCCGGCGGCCCCGAGGACAGGTTTTCATGGCTATGCATTTTCTTCACACTCCTAGGCTATCTGTATTTAGATTGGTCTGTGCATATACTGCATATCTCCAAATTACCCTGCTCATTCCTGTAATAGCTCCTGCTTGTCTTTATAGAACACAAACTGTCAGCCCCCTACTGCTGCTGATGGTGATGGCGCCATTATGTGTAGATTATTATTCGTTTTGACAGGTGTAAGAGTCTGTGTAGGGCAGGGGCACAACTTTCACTGGGGACGGGGACATGTCCCCCCACATTCTGAAATGGCATTTTTGTCCCCCCCAGTTTTATCATTGGAATGTGATACGAACGAGGCAACGGTATACTTTAGGACCATGCGGACGCCTCCGAGCGGTCGGGTAGGCTGTTTGGAGTGTTTATCCTCCCCACATCTAAAACCAAAGTTGCGCCCCTGGTGTAGGGTATATCCATTTGAATTCAATCACTTTTTGACAGCACCCCTTTTGATTTGAACGAAACCTTCCATACATATTTGGCCATTGTATAAGTGCTCAGAAAGTGACTTTTTGGACCTGAATGCCCAAACATTCAGGAGATAGAGCTGCTCAAAGTTGACCCATTTTGCTTACCCCACCATCAAATCAAATCACATTTTATTTGTCTCCTGCGCCGAATACAACAGGTGTAGACCTTACAGTGAAATGCTTACAAGCCCTTAACCAACAATGCAGTTTTAAGAAACATAAGTGTTAAGTAAAAAATTGATAAATAAAAAACAAATAATTAAAGAGCAGCAGTAAAATAACAGTAGCGAGGCTACATACAGGGGGTACCGGTACAGAGTCAATGGGCGGGGGCACAGGTTAGTCGAGGTAATTGAGGTAATACAGTTGAAGTCGGAAGTTTACATACACCTTAGCCAAATAGATGTTGCCACCCCCGTGCTTCATGGTTGGGATGGTGTTCTTCGGCTTGCAAGCATTCCCCTTTTTCCTCCAAACATAACAATGGTCATTATGGCCAAACAGTTCTATTTTTGTTTCATCAGACTAGAGGACATTTCTCCAAAAAGTACAATCTTCGTCCCCATTTGCAGTTGTAAACCGTAGTCTGGCTTTTTTATGGCGGTTTTGGAGCAGTGGCTTCTTCCTTGCTGAGCGGCCTTTCAGGTTATGTCGTTATAGGAATTGTTTTACTGTGGATATAGATACTTTTGTACCTGTTTCCTCCAGCATCATCACAAGGTCCTTTGCTGTTGGGATTTATTTGCACTTTTTGCACCAAAGTACGTGCATCTCTAGGAGACAGAACGCGTCTCCTTCCTGAGCGGTATGACGCCTGCGTGGTCCCTTGGTGTTTATACTTGCGTACTATTGTTTGTACAGATGAACGTGGTACCTTCAGGCGTTTGGAAATTGCTCCCAAGGATGAACCAGACCAGTGGTCTACAATTTTTTTCTGAGGTCTGGGCTGATTTCTTTAGATTTTCCCATGATGTCAATTAAAGAGGCACTGAGTTTGAAGGTAGGCCTTGAAATACATCCACAGGTACACCTCCAATTGACTCAAATTATGTCAATTAGCCTATCAGAAGCTTCTAAAGCCATAACATCATTTTCTGGAATTTTCCAAGCTGTTTAAAGGCTCAGTCAACTTAGTGTATGTAAACTTCTGACCCACTGGAATTGTGATACAGTGAATTATAAGTGAAATAATCTGTCTGTAAACAATTGTTGGAAAAATTACTTGTGTCATGCACAAAGTAGATGTCCTAACCGACTTGCCAAAACTATAGTTTTGTTAACAAGACATTTGTGGAGTGGTTGAAAAACAAGTTTTAATGACTCCAACCTAAGTGTATGTAAACTTGCGACTTCAACTGTATGTACATGTAGGTAGAGTTAAAGTGACTATGCATAGATAATAAACAGAGAGTTACGACAATGCAAATAGTCCAGGTAGCCATTTGATTAGCTGTTCAGGAGTCTAATGGCCATCCTCTCAGGGCACAATGTATGAATTCATAGTTGGATCAAAATCGCCGTTATAATCATTGGCCAGTACGGAGAATTAAGTAAAACCACAAGTCCAAATCCCTTGTCCATCCATGGCTAATTTAGGAAAGGGCCCATTTTAGCTAGCTAGCAAGCCACTGGAGGACAACAACACAACAATTCAAGTTTTGTCTGTCAATGACGTTTTGCTCTCGATGTGATGTGATTGGAATGAATCAAATCCAAACTGGCTTCCCTTGACACTTTTTTTGGTGCGCCAGGACCATTCACAGTTGAGCTCACTCAGTTTAGCTCAACGCTGATTGGCTATTATTTTATACATTTTTTTTTTTCAAGGGAGGCCAAATGCTCGCTGGCTTCCCTTGCATTCAATGCTACGGGAGGCAACAAAGTCATACTCTTTATGACCAGACAGCGTCAGGTAGATGGCCTACACATACAGAGACAGAAGGGTGCTGTTTCGCTCGCTCTTATGCTTTCTCCTGTGAGATTCATTTAGCCTTTTGTGAATTGAAGGAAAGTTATGAAACACAGAGAGACGAAAATACGTTATTTAATGTTTTTTTATTGGTAAATTTTTTGGCGAAGCCTAGCTTACTTCCCTTGGCCTCAATGAATACACACCACTGGATTCTACAAGCCTCTCGTTCACCATAGAAGGCAGCAGGCAGGACCCCTACTGGTGAATGATGAACTGAAAACTCAAAAGAGTCATCATGATTCTACAAGCCTCTCGTTCACATGTCGCTCACCATAGGGGGCTTATTGAAGCTGTCATTTGTGACTGACTTGTAAACTTGTGCTTTAAACAATGTACATTTGTTAATTGCTAGGCTTGCAAATACGATTATTTCTTGATACATTTTAAATGAGGTCTAGTTGTGGCCGCAACCGGACTAGATTGTGAACGACTCTTGGCAGAATGCGTTGCTTGACTGCCGTCCGTGAGGGTGATAAGCAGACAATGTCATTCGCGAACTGCAGCCCCCCAAACGATTCGTGTTCGAGTTTGTTGAGCAGAGGCTGTGAATGTTTTGGTTCTACAAAGCTGTGTCCATAATATTCAATAATTAATTAATTGCAATCATTCTTGCACCATGCGATCAATTATGAGTTCTGAACATGTATTTTTCTTCTATGCTCACAATCTATTTCCCTGCGCGCATATGACAGACAGGTGGTGGTTGGAGTATGTCTCTGGAGCCGCTGAGCTGGAGGAGTGTCTATTAATCCTGCTGTAAGACTCACTGCAGTTAGCACTAGCAGGTCAAACAACTAAAATGAACGAGTCACTCAGAAAAATAAATCATGAGTCTTGAGTTAATAAAAAGAGTCGTTCAGAAAGAAAGAACCGTTCGTAAACTAAACATAACTAATGACCATTTAAATTGATATTCGACGGTGGTCTTTGTGGTAGTTATTATAAGTTAAAGCTCCAATTTGTAACTTTGTTGGCGACCCGACCAAATTAGCATAGAAATGTGAGTTATGGATCTATACTTCTCATTGAAAGCAAGTCTAAGAAGCGGTAGAAATGTTCTATGTGTGCTATTTCTATGCTTCCCGTTCTTACCTTTAGTTTCTGCATCTTTACTTTTGGTTTTGTAGCTGAAAATACAACATTTTTGGTTATTGAAAATATATTTCACAGCAGTTTAGATGGTACAATGATTCTCTACATTCTACATTGGTCACAAAGCGGAGCAATTTCTTTACATTGCACCTTAAACATGTCAATTCAATTGAAATGTCAATGGTGTATAGGCTAAATTGCAGTGGTTCGAAGGGATAGTTCCATTCTATTAATTATATTTCTATGATTGAAATGACACCCACCCTGTATTCAAGAGCATGTTGTATCTCAGCCTATGACAGGAACAACAGATTATGTGAAATAGGGTCTCAGCTACAACATACGCAAATATTTAAAAAATCTGTTTTTAAATAATTGACATTAAAGGTTTAAAAAAACAGAAATACAATTGTTTGACAAGCTTTTAAATGATATCAAACACAACCGTTTCTCTTTTCCAGTGATGAAGACATGGATTTCTCATGGTATGGTGGGGTAGGCAAAATGGGTCAACTTTGGGCACCTTTATCTCCTGAATGTTTTGGCATTCAGGTCCAAAAAGTAACTTTCTGACCACTTCTTCCATGGGAAAACATGCATGGAAAGGGATCAAAAGGGATGCTGTCAAAAAGGGATTGAATTCAAATGGATTTATCCTGTAATGTTCAAGTCAACCACAGATGCACAGTGCTCCTCAGGGAACAGTATATAGCTGCTTTCTTTTCACAGTTTGTTTACTGTCGATCCTTCAGACGCATGGATCCTAAACATGTATTATTTATACGGCTGTGTAGTAGTAGGCACAGCCTGTGCCAACGAGTGTCTGAGGTGCCAGCTTTTCTTAATTCAGGAGAGTGATCTGAAAACGTCAGTCCCTGTTAGTCTCTCCAGGGTCTTCAGGAACTCTAGCCGAGCGTTAATAATGAGCATCTACCAACTGTTACTCTGACATTACATATTCTTGCTTGATGTCTCTGTTCTACCTGAGTCGGATAATGTAGTGCTTCTGGGAATAATCATCTTCCCAATCATCTTCCTCAGTCATTTTCTCCTTCCTGTCCAGGGGCTTTATGCAGCAGAGTAGGATGTGCATTGTGGAGTCAAGAGGTCAAAGTGTCATTGCGATTTAATTACACATGACACCAGCCTTGATCCTATTGATGACACTATGCTGCTTTTTTGTGGCATGTAGCCTATACATAGTTGTGTACAGGAAACCCCAAAGTGCCTGGGGACTGGAGACAAAGGCACAGAGTCACGTCCTCTGTCATCGCAATCACTCGAACCAACAAAAGAGACACCAGACAGTCACACCAACCACCCCGAGCCCGGTCGAATAAAACGTGACAGTGCTGTGTCAAGTCCCCTAGTAGAATCACAGATTGTAGGGGATGGTGGTATTGTAGCTTGGAGAATGCTCCCTTGCTCCCTTGCTCCCTTGCTCCCTTGGCCTACAGACAAGTGTGTGCACTCAAGCAGTACGGAACAGCCACATCAGCCATCACCCCTGCCCCCTCTTCATCATCTTTACCCCGGGCTGAAAGGAGATGAAGGCAGGGGATAGGGCGGAAAAGAATGGGGATAGAAAAGCAATTGGCTAACTCTATAAATCCAATGCACCTTGGGTACCTAACCCCGACCATGGTGACTGGGAGCTATTATTTAGAATCTGGTAACCGATGCTCTGCTTTTAACATTGAATGGCTTGGCGTCTGCCGGTTGTCTCCCGTGACACCTTTATGCCTGTTATTTACTGCCTGGCACTGCAGGCCGTGCTCTCTGAGCCGCTGACAGAGCTAAGCCCAGTGTGGTGGCTCTGAGTTCAAATCAAACTACCACTCCTTATTATGAAAGAGCAGGGAGGGAAGAGGGTGTGTGTTTGTATGTTTGCGGTTGTGGGTGGGTGTTTTGTATAGTGTGTGTGTGTGTGTGTGTGTGTGTATACAGTGCATTCGGAAAGTATTCAGACCCCTTGACTTTTTCCACATTTTGTTACATTACAGCCTTTTTCTAAAATGGGTTAAATCGTTTCCCCCCTAATCAATCTACACACAATACCCCATAATGACAAAGCAAAAACAGGTTTTTAGAGATTTTTGCAAAAAAAAAAAAAAAATGAAAGACTGAAATATCACATTTACATAAGTATTTAGACCCTTTACTCAGTACTTTGTTGAAGCACATTTGGCAGCGATTACAGCCTTGAGTCTTCCTGGGTACGACGCTACAAGCTTGGCACACCTGTATTTGGGGAGTTTCTCCCATTCTTCTCTGTAGATCCTCTCAAGCTCTGTCAGGTTGGATGGGGAGCTTCGCTGCACAGCTATTTTCAGGTCTCTCCAGAGATGTTCGATCAGGTTCAAGTCCGGGCTCTGGCTGGGCCACTCAATGACATTCAGAGACTTGTCCCGAAGCCACTCCTGCGTTGTCTTGGCTGTGTGCTTAGGGTTATTGTCCTGTTGGAAGGTGAACCTTCGCCCCAGTCTGAGGTCCTGAGTGCTCTGGAGCAGGTTTTCATCAAGGATCTCTCTGTACTTTGCTCCATTCATCTTTCCCTCGATCCTGACTAGTCTCCCAGTCCCTGCCGCTGAAAAACATCCCACAGCATGATGCTGCCACCACCATGCTTCACCGTAGGGATGGTGGCAGGTTTCCTCCAGACGTGACACTTGGCATTCTCATGGTCTGAGAGTCCTTTAGGTGCCTTTTGGCAAACTCCAAGTGGGCTGTCATGTACCTTTTACTGATGAGTGGCTTCCGTCTGGCCACTCTACCATAAAGGCCTGATTGGTGTAGTGCTGCAGAGATGATTGTCCTTCTGGAAGGTTCTCCCATCTCCACAGAGGGACTGGCGCTCTGTCAGAGTGACCATCGGGTTCTTGGTCACCTCCCTGATCAAGGCCCTTCTCCCCCGATTGCTCAGTTTGGCCGGGCGGCCAGCTCTAGGAAGAGTCCTTGCATACATTTCTAAAAACCTGTTTTGGCTTGTCATTATGGGGTATTGTATGTAGAATGTTTTATTTAATCAATTTTAGAATAAGGCTGTACCATAACAAAATGTGGAAAAAGTCAAGGAGTTTGAATACTTTCCGAATGCACTGTATGTGTTCCATGTACAGTGGGGAGAACAAGTATTTGATACACTGCCGATTTTGCAGGTTTTCCTACTTACAAAGCATGTAGAGGTCTGTAATTTTTATCATAGGTACACTTCTACTGTGAGAGACGGAATCTAAAACAAAAATCCAGAAAATCACATTGTATGATTTTTAAGTAATTAATTCGCATTTTATTGCATGACATAACTATTTGATCACCTACCAACCATTAAGAATTCCGGCTCTCACAGACCTGTTAGTTTTTCTTTAAGAAGCCCTCCTGTTCTCCACTCATTACCTGTAGTAACTGCACCTGTTTGAACTCGTTACCTGTATAAAAGACACCTGTCCACACACTCAATCAAACAGACTCCAACCTCTCCACAATGGCCAAGACCAGAGAGCTGTGTAAGGACATCAGGGATAAAATTGTAGACCTGCACAAGGCTGGGATGGGCTACAGGACAATAGGCAACCAGCTTGGTGAGACGGCAGCAACTGTTGGCGCAATTATTAGAAAATGGAAGAAGTTCAAGATGACGGTCAATCACCCTCGGTCTGGGGCTCCATGCAAGATCTCACCTCGTGGGGCATCAATGATCATGAGGAAGGTGAGGGATCAGCCCAGAACTACACGGCAGGACCTGGTCAATGACCTGAAGAGAGCTGGGACCACAGTCTCAAAGAAAACCATTAGTAACACACTACGCCGTCATGGATTAAAATCCTGCAGCAAACGCAATGTCCCCCTGCTCAAGCCAGCGCATGTCCAGGCCCGTCTGAAGTTTGCCAATGACCATCTGGATGATCCAGAGGAGGAATGGGAGAAGGTCATGTGGTCTGATGAGACAAAAATAGAGCTTTTTGGTCTAAACTCCACTCGCCGTGTTTGGAGGAAGAAGAAGGATGAGTACAACCCCAAGAACACCATTCCAACCGTGAAGCATGGAGGTGGAAACATCATTCTTTGGGGATGCTTTTCTGCAAAGGGGACAGGACGACTGCACCGTATTGAGGGGAGGATGGATGGGGCCATGTATCGCGAGATCTTGGCCAACAACCTCCTTCCCTCAGTAAGAGCATTGAAGATGGGTCGTGACTGGGTCTTCCAGCATGACAATGACCCAAAACACACAGCCAGGGCAACTAAGGAGTGGCTCCGTAAGAAGCATCTCAAGGTCCTGGAGTGGCCTAGCCAGTCTCCAGACCTGAACCCATTTAGAAAATCTATGGAGGGAGCTGAAAGTCCGTATTGTCCAGCGACAGCCCCGAAACCTATAGGATCTGGAGAAGGTCTGTATGGAGGAGTGGGCCAAAATCCCTTTTGCAGTGTGTGCAAACCTGGTCAAGACCTACAGGAAACGTATGATCTCTGTAATTGCAAACAAAGGTTTCTGTACCAAATATTTAGTTCTGCTTTTCTGATGTATCAAATACTTATGTCATGCAATAAAATGCAAATTAATTACTTAAAAATCATACAATGTGATTTTCTGGATTTTTGTTTTAGATTTCGTCTCTCACAGTTGAAGTGTACCTATGATAAAAATGACAGACCTCTACATGCTTTGTAAGTAGGAAAACCTGCAAAATCGGCAGTGTATCAAATACTTGTTCTCCCCACTGTATGTGTGTAGGTGTTTTGTGTGTGTGTGAGCGTGCATCAAATCAAATCAAATCAAATTGTATTGGCCATGCGCCGAATACAACAGGTGCAGACATTACAGTGAAATGCTTACTTACAGCCCTTAACCAACAGTGCATTTATTTTTAACAAAAAAGTAAAAATAAAACAACAATAAAAAAAAGTGTTGAGAAAAAAAGAGCAGAAGTAAAATAAAATAACAGTAGGGAGGCTATATATACAGGGGGGTACCGGTGCAGAGTCAATGTGCGGGGACACCGGCTAGTTGAGGTAGTTGAAGTAATATGTACATGTGCATGTGTGTGTCCGTGTGTTATATGTTTCCTGGTGTGACGGGGCTGGGGGAGTGAGTTGTCACAGACGTTGTGAGCTATGCTCCAAAAGAGGTCATACGTTCTGTCTAGCCTGTCAGGCTTCAGTGCTCTGCTGTGCTGTTGAAGCTTCACACAGCAAGGTGACGTTGTATTTCTTAATCCTGTCATTCTGAGCAATATTGATGCACATGCCTTTGGTTTCCTTCCATTTGTCTATACCTCGGTGTAAACACACAGAGGGGGGTGAACGTATGTCTTCCCCTTCTGGATAAATATTTCTCTTTCATTCTGCTTACAAAAATAAGACAAACACATAAGTCCCAAGTACTTCACAAGCGTTGTGTAAATGTTGAAATAAATGCATGACTGTTGAGGCTTTTATCAGTTATTAATGATTTATTATCTCCCATCTTTGTTTCCAGTACAAAGGCTGTATAATTAGTTGTTAATCAGCGAAGACGGTTATGTTAAACTAATTTAATGCTGCATTTTTTAGCCCCCAAAAGTGCATCTAATCCCAATCTACAGTGAGGGAAAAAAGTATTTGATCCCCTGCTGATTTTGTACATTTGCCCACTGACAAAGAAATGATCAGCCAATAATTTTAATGGTAGGTTTATTTGAACAGTGAGAGACAGAATAACAACAACAAAATCCAGAAAAACGATTTGCATTTTAATGAGGGAAATAAGTATTTGACCCCCTCTCAATCAGAAAGATTTCTGGCTCCCAGGTGTCTTTTATACAGGTAACGAGCTGAGATTAGGAGCACACTCTTAAAGGGAGTGCTCCTAATCTCAGCTTGTTACCTGTATAAAAGACACCTGTCCACAGAAACAATCAATCAATCAGATTCCAAACTCTCCACCATGGCCAAGACCGAAGAGCTCTCCAAGGATGTCAGGGACAAGACTGGAGACCTACACAAGGCTGGAATGGGCTACAAGACCATCGCCAAGCAGCTTGGTGAGAAGGTGACAACAGTTGGTGCGATTATTCGCAAATGGAAGAAACACAAAAGAACTGTCAATCTCCCTCGGCCTGGGGCTCCATGCAAGATCTCACCTCGTGGAGTTGCAATGATCATGAGAACGGTGAGGAATCAGCCCAGAACTACACGGGAGGATCTTGTCAATGATCTCAAGGCAGCTGGGACCATAGTCACCAAGAAAACAATTGGTAACACACTACGCCGTGAAGGACTGAAATCCTGCAGCACCCGCAAGGTCCCCCTGCTCAAGAAAGCACATATACAGGGCCGTCTGAAGTTTGCCAATGAACATCTGAATGATTCAGAGGAGAACTGGGTGAAAGTGTTGTGGTCAGATGAGACCAAAATGGAGCTCTTTGGCATCAACTCAACTCGCCGTGTTTGGAGAAGGAGGAATGCTGCCTATGACCCCAAGAACACCATCCCCACCGTCAAACATGGAGGTGGAAACATTATGCTTTGGGGGTGTTTTTCTGCTAAGGGGACAGGACAACTTCACCGCA